AAAAAAAAAGAAGAAGAAGAGTTGTGAGACCTGTGTAATGAGGGAAGTGGGAAATGCAGTGGAGTCCAAAAGATAACCCAGAAGCAGAGACAGAAACGCCCTTATTCAGCTTCAATTTCCACTTTGAAATCCTTTAGCAAGGAGTAATCATCGGTGTTTAGCACATTATTATCATCCCCCATTCTATCCTTTGCCTCTTGAAAAAACCAAAAAAAAAAAAAAAAACCAAAAACTCTGTTTTTCGAGATAAGATCAGAAGAATCCTCAAGAACAAAAACCCACAAAAGTAAAACCCTTAATGCGGTCCGGAAACCAGAAAATTGAATGAAAGGAAACAAATTTCTGCGGCCTCTCTACGAAGGCAGAAGAGGCTGTTGGCCTATTGCGACTGCTGTTAATTAACGGTTGTAGCGATGTAGGAATCAGGTGTGTCGCGGTTACGGCTATAAAATTAGAGGGCCAATCGTCTGGCTTATGGCGGCAAAACAAAATAGGTCAGTTTGAACATTACTGACGTGGGTTGATTGCATTGGATAACGAATGATTCGTGTTTGTAGTAGTTTATATAAGGAAAAAATGCGTCGTGCAATTAGCACTTAGCAGATGTATCAAATTACAAAATTATAACAACTGAATAGGACGGGTTATTAGCTGATTTTTTTGTTATAATTTAATATAATTTAAATTATAAAATATAACATTTGGATCTTCAGGCTCAATTACATTAAGTTACGTCTAAAAGCACCTTTTTTTTTAGATAATTGTTCGAATTCAATAAAAAAATTATAAAATATGATATTTTTATATCATTTAGTGCAAGTTATGCAGATAAACAGGTGTTTTAGTTTTTTATTTTTTTAAATTATATAAAAAAATAAAAATTCTTGAATAGAACAAGTGATAGTTCTCGCAAAAGACTTTTCATAAATTTCGAGTTTGAGGCCACGTCATTCCCCCGCCCCCACCCCCCACAATGTAATCATGTTCAAATGTATATATATATATATATATATATATATATAAAGAAATGAAATATCTGAGGCTGAATAGAAATCCTCTTTGTATTGCCAGTTGGGATTTGAATTACAGATGAAATTTTGTTTCTTCAACTTCGAATTCGAGTTCTATATGCTGATTACAAAGAGTTCTGATATATGGTAAATAACATACATGACAGGTGGCAAGCACTTGGTGCGCTGGAAGACATGTAGGAGCCACGTAGGATTAGTATTATATTTTATATATTGTTATTTTTCTTGTCCTTTTATTTAACTTAGTGTTGCCGTTTTGGTACGGGCTAGGACTAGAGCACAGATGGTATTTAGAGGCTGCTTCTTGTCGTTTGCAGCTTGTCCAAGAAATTGGTTATTTCTTCTTATCTGTTTCTCTGTGATTTCCCTTAACTTCCTCTGTAATCAATATCCACTTGAGTAATATATCAGAGATCATTCTCTTCTTTACTTGATTTCTCTTGTATCTCTCTACTCTCTTTATCCCAGGCATTAAAACCCAATGTCAGAACCCAGAAAACTCTCTCTTCTCTCTGACGGCTCACTCCAAAAATCCCCCCACAATCAGCAAACAAACTTCTTTTATAGGGGAGGTCAGCAGAAGCCCTAAAACCCCCAATTCAAAATCTCAGTTCTCAACCTTTCGATTGCCATCTCTCACTCTCCACCCATGATCTGATCAAGCCAAAATTGGGCTCCTTTCTGCAGAATACGGACTGGGAAGAAGCAAGAAATCAGGGGCTGGTCATTAGGTCTTGAACACCAAGAAGAGGACCATCGCAGGGCTCTCTGTGATGCTTCCAAGTGGCATGGGCGGGTGTTGAGAATGCAGAGCTTGCACGGAAAAAGGACCAGTAAATAGGGAAGAAAGAGACCATGAGCAGAACGTGAACAGAAAAGCTCCGCGTCTCTGCCTCTTTCTTTTTTTTATTTTTTATTTTTTGGGTCTGGGTTTTCTTGAATACTAAAAAGGGGTTAAACGATGAGTTTGAAGGCGGGATTTAATCGGAATTGGACTGGGTTTGGGCTTGCCCAAATGGGTTTCATGGGTTTCGGTTGGCTTTAAGAGTTGAAGCTTGAATTTTAATTGGGCCTGAAGGAGTTTGGGTTCGCAATTGAAGCCCAACCTGCTCATCTTCTGCACCTTGTGTCGTTTGACCCCATTCTTTTCCACATTTTTCCAATTTTGTCCCTATACACTAAAGCATGCAATTTTAAACTTTTCAATTAAGTACAAAAATGAAATAATTAAATTTAATCTCAATTTTCCTTTGACATATTTCTGGAATTAATTTCCCACATCAAATTAAAGTTCAAATATTTCAAAAATTGTCTCAAAAATTGAGTTATAACAATTAATAAAAGAGGGGTTTTCTAATAATTGTGAATTAATTGTTTCATAAAACAATATTTTGGTACCACGTTTGTTGCAAAAAATGTGATTTGTAATGACCTTTTTTTTTTTTTGTTGGAGTAAGGTGATTTGTAATGATTTTAGTTGTCAAAACATTTATTCCCCAACAAAAAATTGTTTTTCTTAAAATAGATTTTGGTTACAATATCATTAAATGTGAAAATATTGGTTATCATAACAATTAATTCCGTTGCAATATTATTTTAGAAACAAATAGGTGTTTTTTAGTCTATAGCACAAAGGTTAGTGAGCATTAAATAAAGTTTTAAAATTTTATTAAAATAATATCTTCTATGGGAATAGTGGCTGTTTTAATTATAGTTTTTTTACTTTTTATTAAGACTAGAATACCCTTATTTACTTCTACTATGCAGATTTTTTTTTCTTGTCCCTTCATCTCCGTTTGTTTTCTTCTCTATCTATCTGCCCCAATGTTCTCCGATTGAAATCATTCTCTTACAGGCAGAGATCAAAATCAATTTACATTGCAACTCAAAGTACAAACATTGAAGAACATGGTGTGTTAATAAGGAAGGCCCATCAACAGGAGAACAAGGCATTAAAGGATACGGTGGAGTTTAAGCATGACAAATGAGCCAGCAAAGGAACAACGAAAAGATTGGAGAATTAAAGATGCAAAGTCACTTTTTAAAATTAGTCAAGTTGCTCATTGAATTCAAGATTTAAAATAATATCAGTTTTTGTCATTTTCAATACAAATTAATATAAAAAAATTAATTATATTCTTAACCTTTTATCTAAAGGTAAAAGAATTCTTTAATAAAAGGGATGTAATGAAATTAATATTTATAAAAATGTAAATATTGATTTTAATTTAATTAATTAATCAATTAAAATCATCCATGTATAATGTTAAAATAAAGATTACCTTTTACAAGTTTTTATGTGAAATAATTCTAAAATAATGCATTTATTATATCTTTAAAGTACAAATTAAACAAAATTTTTAATAAATTTAATAAAATATAAATTCAAGAAAATGGTTGACACATACAAGTGGGAGTGACATGCAATAGTGGACTCTTAAGTAAAATCTTTGAAAAAAAAAATAAAAAATGAGTTAAACATTTGACCGTTGCCATTTAACTATCAAAATTAAACGGTAATAGAGACTCTATGGACGTAAGGACGATATAGAGCACAATTTCAATGGTGGAGGGAGGACACTGGAGCTCAAAATGAAGTAGAGGGAAGACATGAGGGGATTCCATAGTAGAAGGGTCAGGCTGAACTTTTTTCGCAAAGTAGAAGGATGACAACTGGCTTTAACCCCTTTTAAAATTAGTCAAGTTGCTAATTGAATTCAAGATTCAAATTAAACTCACCATAATTGAGGATTTAAGAAAAAGTAGAGCTAGGGATGGGCAAGGTTCCGGTTAACCGACCAGAAACTGAATAATGGAACGACGTCGGTTCGGTTTTTTTACCGAAATTTTGGGTTCGGACCGAAGAGGCGTGATTAAGGCTTAAACGTGAATTCTAGTCGGGCGGGCTTTGGTTGTGAGCTCAAAAACCAAAGCCCGATTAAAGCCTCTGGTAAAACTGAAAAAATTATGGCCCAAAATGCTTTTCCTTTCTCAAGCCCAATTATTTTGGGATTTTTTCAGCTTGGGCGGGATACTTTCACAATTTTCCTCCTAATTAATTGGGTTTTTTTTTTTTTTTTTTCTGTTTCCCACCCAAACATATTTCTAATCTTTTTTTTACTAAATTAATTTGGATTTATTAAAGCCTCGTGTATATTTGTTATGAAATAAGAAAAATACAAATAAGAAAAATACATGTATTGTTTTGCTTAAAATTCTATTTCAATTTAAACCGAAACCAATGTGAAAAAACTCAAATGATCCGATCATCAAATCAATAGACTGACTTTTTTTTTTTTCGGGTTTGGTGATTGGTTCACTTTCTTCTTCAACCAAATTATTGGTTAATTGCTCATTTTGACCAATTTAATAACTGAATCGAATGCAAAATACTAAGTACAGCACTTACTTGGCACATCCAATGGCACAGCGGGAAATGCTTTTGTAGACTCAAATTAGAGGTTCTTTATCTTTTTTTGGTGATGTGTCTAGCTAATTTGTTTTTTAGGTACTAATTCTTTGGTGTTTAAAAATACATTAAAACTTTAATTAATTTTAAGACAAATCATGTCAAATCTTATGAAAAAAAAACTTTTTTAATATTTTTTTTATATTAATAAAATTTAAATTTATAATTTTATTTTAAAAAATTATGTACCTTCTATTTGAATTAATAAGTAAAATGTTAAAAACAATAAAAAATGTGATAGAAAACCCCCAAAAAAAATAAGAGGAAGGGACAGAAGAAAGTCTCTGCATGAAGAAAGAAAATGAGGGCATTTTAACCTTTGATATTTTATTTAATACTCACTTAAGTGTGGTTTAAGAATATATATTAAAAAGTTCTATTTTTTAAATCCCTCTTCTAGGTTCTAGCAACAACTAATATGAACAAAATTTATCAATTTCAACACCCCATGTCATAATTTCCACACCTTTGTACCTCAAGTTAGGCTCCCTAAGAGAACTACCTCTACAGTGAATTTTAAAGAAACCGTACTCATAGAACCCGTTTATTCAGTTTCACTGTGAAAAAAGACAAAAAAAAAAAAAAAAGAGCATCAGGGGACCACTGCAGGTGTTGTCAAATTCTAACCACTGCAAATAATAAAACTGCATTTCGTACGTCCACCTCAAAATTGAAGGACGTCTTGTGGAGATTATCCATCTGATGAGTGGAGTAGAAATATTTTATTTCATAAATAAAAGTATTATTAAAATATATTATATTTTATTTTTAATATTTTTTATTTTTTATTAAAAATATGTAATAATTGTAATAGATAGTTACCTATATTAAGAAAAAAGACGTCTTGTGGAGACTTCTATCTACCATGATCTCAATTAAAAAAAAGAAAAACACCTTTCTTTATCAAGGTAACAATGAAATTTTACCAAAAAAAAAAAAAAAAACTATGATCAACCATATTTAAAAAAAAATATTATAAACAACCAGTAAAATAAACTATAATCAAACCAGGTCTAAAAGGCTTTGCCTTTTTTTCTAAAGTTAAAAGGTTATGATGAGCTCCTCTTAATTAAGTAGAGGGATGATAATGAGTTCTTTTGTAAACAATAAAGATTTTTGGTGACATTAAGCTAAACAATACAGAATGTGATAGGGAAAAAAATGAGTAGAAGGGAGATCAAGAAGGCAAACGGAGTAGGAAAGAAAAAAAAATATCTGTGTAATGAAAGTAAATGAATATATTTTAGTCTTAATAAAAATAAATAATAAATAATTTTCTATAAAAAAAATTCATAATTAAAATAGCCACTAAACTCATAAAAGATACCAATTTAATTAAGATTTGATAAACTTTTTTTTTACTAACTTCTCGATATCCAGAAATTACATTGAATCTTGATTAATTCAGAATAAAATCGGGTCGGATTCATATGAGGAGAAACTCTCTCAACACTTATTTTTTCATTCACAAGATTCAAATTTAAGATTTTATTTAACCAAAATCGAGTTTTTTCTATTCGAATCAACAAATTGTTGATGATAACTTATTTAATGGTCATAATTTGTACTTAAAAATATAAATTAAAAAACCTAAAAAAATTAAAAAAATCCCTCTTTTAGCAACAATTAATATAGTTATAAAATACATCTTTTTGCAACAATATTGCCAAGAGCATATCCAAATTAGATAGTTACAACTATTTTATTATATTTTGGCTAAATTATTAATTTGGTCCCTTAACTATTATATAAACTCTCAATTTAATTCTTAGATTAAAATTTTTTTTATTTGATCTTTATTATTTATCAATTTAATCACAAATGGATCTTTTTATACAAAAATAATTGATATATTTTATTATTAATATGACATGAATAGTTAAATAATAATTTTTTACTATTTTGTAATGAACACATAAGTTATTTTATTATTAATATGACATGAATAGTTAAATAAT